ACCACACATCGCAAACGCTACGAAAGACTGGATCCAAAGGTTCGGCTGGGAAGTTCTGCCACGCCCTCCTCATAGTCCTGACTTGGCCCCGTCAGATTATCACCTTTTTGGACCAATGAAACGCCATATTTCTGAACAGCGATTCACCAACGACGAAGACCTCGTGGAAGCCGTGAAAGATTGGTTGAAATCCCTTGACGAAAAATTTTTCAGGGAGGGTTTCTTTACCCTGATCCAGAGATAGGAAAAATGGGTCCAGCGGGATGTTGATTACATTGAGAAATAAAGCACTTGTTGAGGTACGATGTGTTACATTTTTATTGTAATGGGACAAAGATTGTCGCTTTTATGGACCTTTTCCGTTTTTTCGTGGTTTCTTTCTGGGGAATCACCCTCACATCTCGTGTACTACTAGTACATGTAGGAATTTATAAGCCCCACCAAACCAGCGTATATCTGTGGTGTAATGGATAGTTAAGCTCTTTGTCTTTGCACCCAAAGCTCTTCAGTTCTTGCTTGGGGAAGTGTATTTTGCCAAGTGTAATTTCAATCTTTCTGCTACAATGCTGTCCCCTGTTCAGCCTGCCTCCTAAATAATCTACATTAAAATTAGACTTTGTCAACGGATGGACGCATTTAAAGGGTAAAGTAAGTCCCTGTTTTCGGGAGAAATTGTCAGTAGACTCCACAAAGGGCCTTTTGTGAGAATTGAAGAAACTGAGAAGCAAGCATATGACTTTCTTTTGACTAGATCTGTCTAGATCTTTTCTCACACACGCACACACGCACACAAACGCACAAACACACACACACACATACACACACACACACACACACACACACACACACACACACACACTCTCACACACGCACAATACACAAACACATATGCCTTGGATTATGTTACTTATGGCTTATTGTGGACTGGGAGTAAATTTAAAACACTGTGCCTTTTATCAGCTAGCATAGTTACTTTACGGATTCCGATGTTTGTGGGCTGGGTATCGTTGTTTCTCTGAAAGGTCAGTCGTAATGTTTAGTAAAAAAAAATAGTACCTGGTGTTCCATCCACAAATAGGCCTACCACAATTCCCCACAATGAATAACTACGATTACAGAAACAAACATCACACATATCACTGATTGGACATTTAAAAAAACACATTTTTATTCAGACCTCCTCAAAGACAAGAGCTTCATGCATATATAGTAATATACAGCAATAAAACATAATCATGAACATTTTGTTCCCAAACTATGATCTGCGCAAGGACTATCAACATGGTGTAAAACATTAAAGAAAACTCTAAGAATGTTTTTGTCAGAGTCATAATTTACTACACATCATGTAGATCTACTATTAAAACTGACCCTTCACTGTTTCATTCACATTTGAGTGAAAACTGGACATAACATTACAATCATCATCGTTCTAATCAGATTATACTTCATAGAATAGAAAGAGAATATTCATTATGTGTCACAACGTGGTGACTAAGGCGCTGGTCAGTTTTCGGGCGCGTGGAGTTATTGGTTCTATCCAAGGAGTTTAGAACTAATGGAGCCTCCTCTCTCTCTTCGCGGCGCCACAAGCAGTACGCCGCGGTGGGGATCAAATATGGCCGCCGACTGTGGGCTAAATCACGAACTGTGGCGTTTCTTTTTATAGGATCTTATCGGGCTGGGCCACGTTGTGGGGGTGGGTGGGGTGGAGGAATGCACGCAATGAAGAGGGGATGGGGCTGGGATGAAAGAAGAGGGGCGGGCCTTGGGAAGGGACGAAGGAGAATGGGAAAAATTAAATAAAAGAGAGAGAAAGAGAGAGAGAAAGAGAGAGAGAGAGAGAGAGAGAGTAACAGACAGACAGACAGAGAAAGAGAGAGAGAGTGAGAGAGAGAGATTGTGATCAACTGACAGGCTGACGGATAATGACTGGGAGAAAAAAATAAATTCTGTGTGATATACGGACTGTTCAATTCTTTAAGAGTTTTATGTTATAATCTAGTTTAAAAATCAAAAAGATGAGTAAAATAAGAAATAAACTTGTTCGAGTAACATAAAATTATCATTAATACCAAATTATAAAGATAATCTTCTGAGGTGCTAAAATATTGAATTATAAGAAAAGGATAAAAATATACTTTTAAACTGAATTTAAGATATGATTGCATGATTCTAGGCGTGTGCGATAACTAACTTTATGTGTAAGGAACAGCGAACACAAAAGAGGGTCGATGCCAGCTTTATCTGATTGCTAACAGTATGTCTTGGTCTATAAAGAATAATATTATTTATTAAAATAATTTTGCTTCCTGGTTTTCACAAAGTGGAGCGCACAAAGATTTCAACTATTTAAAAAAAAGGGATAACAGCACCTTTGGGGGTGTGATCGCATGCATGATCGTGGATGACCTTTGAAGGTTTTTTTTTTTCTGTTCAGTAAAGTATGATATGGAGAGCAGCGTTTTTAGTCCCTTATTACACTCCAGAGGGGGATAATTTATCTTAGTGATGACTCTTGTGTAGTAAAATTTGTTGTTGCTTCGTTTGGTTTATTTTTTAACAGCAGAATCTTAAGTGAACCGGAATGATTGATTGTGGGATCTTAGGTGAAGACTACAACAATAGAATTAAACCGAGTATAGTTCTATAACAAGACTCAAACTCTTATCCACCCCACCCTACCCTCTCCCCTCATCTGATATGGCTTGGTGTTTCTTTAACATAGAAAATATTCATCATTATTGTTGTTGAGTATTGATTTCATATTCTAATGGAGCCTCTAGATTAAGACAACAGTAGCATCTAATTTGCACACACAATGGAAAGCAATATCTTTAATTAAAATGTATAATTTGTATATACATACACACACATAATAATTATATATATATATATATATATATATATATATATATATATATATATTTAATATATACATGTATATACATTATTATTATATTATTATATTATAATATCAAGATTAGACTGCGCATTTTAACTACCGTACAATTGCGTGGCAATCTGAAGATTGCGTTAATATATTATGTATTTTTAAATTGTAAAAAAAATAAATTTACTTCCATCTTTTACTCACATCAAGGGACATTCACATATATTTTCAAAAGTGTAAAAATATGAAAATACTAAAGATATGAGAGTTCAGTGCAATTTACCGATCGGCGCAATCTTAAAATTGCGCTGAGCGTTTTAACGATTGTATAATTGCGCGGCAATCTGAGGATAGCGATAAAAAATTCTATTTTTGAAAAAAATGAAAAAAATTCACTTCCATCTTTATTCTTTTGCAAAATGACTTGAATCAATTTGTCTAAACAGATTGATATTTTTGTAAAAAGCTAGCTGTTAGCTGTGTTAAATGGAAAATTCCTTAATAAATACTAATAAAACAATCCATGAGAGCGGTTTCTACAGATTTTAAAAGGTTCACAGCTGGAGTAATATCGCTTTTAAAAGCAAGTCCACCTTTCTTTTCTAATTGTGACATAATATATATGCTTATTGAACACCTGTTTTGAGGACCTTTGAGTGTAAATAATACATTTTCCATTAAATAGATTTCCTGTAACAAGTTTTGCCGTTAAAAGGTGCCTGTGGTGAGATGTGATATAGGTGACATTTCCGCATAACAGAGATTAATAGTAGGCCTATTTTATATGAATTTATGAAGAACAGTTTTTTAATCTAGCCTGAACTGTTGTGGAAAAATAAGATTAAGTTTTATAGAGACAAATTGATACAAAATGCTGTGTATCACTGATTCGCCGGTGGAAGAGATATTTGAGGATAAGTTGCGCCACGAAATTTTGACCACACTATAGTTAGATCTACTTTTATTATGGCTTGGTGTGGACTGGGAGAAAACAATACACTGTAATATGATGATTGTCTTTTGGCTTGCATGGTAACTTTACAGATCATAAATCCATAAATAATGTCTGTGGGCTGGACATCGTTATTTCTCTAATAATAGGTCATTCGTAATGTTCAGTATACTGACCTGGTGTTCCATCCACAAATACCACCATTCCCCACAAAGAGTAACTACGATAGCAGAAACAAAAATATCACACATATATATATCACTGGTTGGACATTTTTAAAAAAATACATTTTTGATTAAGTTTTCAAAGCCCTGAACTAAGCCTTGATTGCACGTGAAGTACAAGAATACAATAAAACATGATCATAAACACAATGTTTCTAAACAATTGTCTGAAAAAAACCCAACTGACAACATTTATTTAAGGCTGATTAGAAAAAAATTCTAGGAATGTATCATTATGCCATCAAAATTGTCCTTTTATTGATTCATTCACATTAAATTGAAAACTGGGTATAAACAATCATTATCATCCTAATGAAATGATGCATAGAAAATGCCGGTATGATCATTAACCATGGACAAACCACTTAAACTTAAACCCTCAAAAAATTCTTAACACATTTTTAAAATACGCTTTTGCGCAATGCTCTTATAAGTCAACTCGTGTTTCATTACTCATAAATACCACCAAAAAAAAAATGTTTAAAGATGCATAGACTCTATATCGGATCTCCCAATTAAGGGGGCTTGATACTTACCAAACAACATTTTTAATGAATAAAATTTGTTTATCTTATAAAAAGGGGAATCCTTCATCTTACATTGAATTCGAGTTTCCATTCAATCTGTGTTCGTTGTACCCAAGTTTACGGCATCCGAGTTTCTCTATGTATCTCCAGCAAGCTGCTCCCAACGGCTCGAGGTCGGAACTGCTGTGCCGGTGAGCTGCTGACAGCGGCTCGGGCACTTTCCTTTCCGATGACTTCAACATCAAATTATTTTTTGGCAAATGTCGAAAACAAGTTTCTTTTACCAGGAAATCATTCATTAGATGAAGAGGTATTGAATTAGGCTCACTTATTTTGATTTAAAGACCAGTTTAGTGACATATATATATATGCCAAAATAAGATTTCGCACCACAATAACCACCCCCCACACCTCACGGAGATAAAGAGTTCAACTTGCTCATACCTTAAAGACAGAGTTACAGTTGGTCTTTATGTGTCCGGGCTATACGTTCTTAAAAGAGCTGAATATAAAAATTATCCAACTCACTACTAAGAATGTTACCGTTAGGATGAAAGGTGTTAGACTACCTTTTGTCTTCACAGATTCTCCAAATTCCTTGCTGACTCTGACTACATTTCTCTGTCTCCCTGTTGTCGTTTTTTGTTTTGGTACCACTGTCTCATTGCTGATGCCTTGCTCAATCTTTTTTGAGTCCGACGAACTTGTATACCTGTAATGTCAGAATCAATAAATAAGAGTACTTTTAAAATTTTGAGGACATACCGAACAGCCATCAGTAAGAACAAAAAAGAAAACTTAATGGACTCGACAAACAGGCTGAAAAGTCTCAAAGGACCCTACAGCCTTCACGTATTAAATGAACTTAATGTGTAAAACTTTGAAACGCTTATCTAGTACAGAGGTTAAACTCTGCTCATTACTAGAAATAAAATTTCAAAATAATTCGTACATTGTTTAGGCTATGTTGATGATAAACATGCTGAAAACATTTGCCAAATACACAATACATTATCTTAATGATGCTCTTACACACAAAACGCTTTATGGTTAAATAGGCCAGTGCAATTTTATGAGTAATCAGCTTGTCACTTTTAAAAGACCAAGTGCATTAAGTGGAAAAAAAACAACCAAAAGCAACTTTTTAAAGCATGATGACAATAGTTATCTAGCTTGTTGAAAATGGAAAGCATACATTGCATAATATGATTTAAAAACCTTGGGTCTTATGATGTTTTATTGAAACTAAAAACCATTCTTTAATCTCAATAGAGTCAAGACTCGATTGATCAACGTGTGCAAATTGGTTATGACATTGGAATAGACTACATGTATTCACCACTATGGGAAACAAAAGGCTAAAAAAAAAGGAAGTTTATCCCTTTGTGGACATAATGAAAAGGACCCAACTTTATAATGATAATAATGCAATAGTAATTACATGTAGGCGTACTGAATTTATATTGCACATATCAACACTCTTAAGCTCTGTGAACTTAACAATTATTACTACCCTTGCAGACTCAAGAACATTCAGAAACATTCTCAGCTTCCCGGGAAGCATACAGTGCAAGCAGCAGATTACTCGCGCTAAAACACTAACAAAGTGACAAGATGTTTTGTCGTCCATAGCCGGGAACCCATTCCACCTGGGTGAAGTGAGGAAAATTTGTATAGAGTGCATTTCCCAAGGACACAAATTTCGGCCTCGTCAGGATTCGAACTCACAGCCTAACGGTCCAAGAGCGTAACCACTGGACCACAGACACCTTTAATTCTTATTTCTGTGCAGTTCACTGATGCATAAATGTTTTTCTTTTCACCTTGTGAACATGCCTGATAATTCATGACACAGAAAGAGCATAACAGACAATAATTTACCTCTCAAGATATGGTGACAGCTTGTAATCAGACTTTAGCATAACCATTATTCAGCAGGGTTACATTTTAAAAGCAAAGGCGGGAGTTAATTATGCTGCACTAGCGACTACAAAGTTCGTGGAACGGGATCTGCAGAATAGACATAGCATTAAAAATGACAACAAGCACAAACAGTGCAAAGTTTACTTAAAACATTACAGAACTGATTTTTCTGGACATGTATTCTTTTTTGGGGTATTTTTTCTTAATTTTAATATCAAGTGAACATCATTTTCAAATGACTTTTTCTTAAAAAATAAAATAGTTTTCTTCGCATAGAGATTGTCCACAACATTCACTTTCATCTCAGAAAATGATACAGCATGTAATATTGCTATGCATGTGGCAAACTTTGATCACTTAAAAAAATATTTTTAATGCATTTAAGTTTGCAATACTACTAATGAATACTGTCCAAGAAAGCATTTCTTTCTGCACATGCAAAAAGTTGAGAAAAACGTTTCCAAACAAATATTACCATTTTATACAATTTGTCGTATAGTCTTTCTTAATGATCTTTTTTTGCATAACAACAGATAGAAAGACATACAGACGAACATACAGAAAGAGAGACATAGGGAAAACAGACGTACATTTATGTTTTAAAAAAGGCGTGACGAACAATGGAACATTTAATTAATTTACAACCAGATATAAATGTCTAGAAGGGTAAATTGATTTGAAGAGTAACATGAAAATATAAGTTTTAAGGACTTCAATGTACAATTTGACTTTATTTATTTATTATTTTTAGGGGGGTGGGGGTGGGCGATTCATAATATTATGATTATGATGAAGTCTAGGAAACTTTCTCTGGCAGACTTTTGTGAGAGAGCCCATACCTATTATTTACCTTCATGTTTTTGCCTGAACTTTGTGATTTTTATTGTGTGAAAACATTTTTTTTTTTAAACTGCAAAATCTTTATTATTGTTTTGTAATGCACAAACATGTTGAAAGGAGACAAGGTTCTGAAAGCTGTTATCAAAAATGTTTTTCTTCTACTCCTTCAAACAGGAAAGATTGTTTGGAATTTAAGGAAACATTGAATTTGAAACAGAAAAACTAAACAGCAAAAAAGAAAGAGGGGGAAAATAGATATATTCAGGTATCTCTGAGTCTAAGGCATGGTTGGTTAGTTGGTTAGTATTCATCTTAGCCAGAAGGTTAAGGTGTTTAGGTATATAAAAAGCATGTAATATAAGTTCTCTTTCTAGCAAACTGTCCGTGGTCACATTATAAGGCTAATAATTTGCAATTAAGTCAAGCACATATCATGATTTCTTTTGAGTCAGGAGTTTCCGTCTTTACTTTTCCCCATGATGTCATTCAACATCAACAAGAGAGGTAGATAGTATCAAACAGTTTTTACACTGATGGCATGACTGCTAACTCTCATGAATCATAATAAGTGCTTATAGAATCTCCTTTTCTCCTCTAGACTGTCCAGAGAAACCAGATAAAAAAGAATTTAAATAAAATGCAAAAAATTATACTTACAACCAATATGATTTTTTGTTAGTCCTTTTCTGGACAGTCGATAAACACAATATAGACCCATCTTGTCTACATCCTTTTCTCAGCTTAGAAATTCCATGTGGACATAGCTGTGGACACCGACTACACCGCTGGAGAAATTAATTGCGCTCATTTTAAAAGTGTGTGCATGGTGGAAAGGGTGGGGGATGGTATTAAACACTATTTGAGGGACTCTATGTGCACAACTTTTACTGCCTGATCTATCAGTAACACAGTTCTGAGAGACTTTGTCACCTAGTTTGATTAATTTTGCTTTTGTGCAAATCAGTCAGCTTGCTTTGCAGATAATTTAGCCTGATCCCCTAACCTCTTTGGAACTATTTATAGACTCCAAATTTCAGCGGTCATACATTACTGAACATGTCTGATGTAAGAAACTGGGAAGCCAACTTGAAGTACAATATTAACAAATTTCTAGTCAAGTACAAGTCACGGTGTGTGCAAGGTATATTATATGTGTGTGTGTGTGAGGCAGCATGATGGAATCAGGCTCTCGTCAAAATAATCAAAGTGAAGAAACTTGCATTTTTCCGCAGTTTGTGAATTTTTATGAAATTTTTGTTTTTTGGCTCAACACCTTTCATGCCCATTAAAGAACTCATTTCTGTACGGATTTTTCTTAAAAACGTTGATTAAACTCCCAAAAAATGTAAATTTTCAGTTCCCACGGACTCTTAAGCTAAGGAAATAACCAATCTTTGGCGGCCATTTTCTCACAAATTTTACGTCTGAAAACAGGTGACCTCCACCTCCTTCATTCGAAAACATCTCAACTTGTACTCAAGATAAATGGATATTTTTTTCATCGACATATAGACAAGTGAACAAGCTTTAAGATGACACCAATAACTCTACATGTCCAAAAATTGACGTGTCCAAAAATTGACGTGTCCAAAAATTGACGAGAGCCTGATTCCACCACGCTGCCTCACACACACACACACACACACACACACACATTATATATATATATATATATATATATATATATATATATATATATATATATATAGACAGTACTGTCCCTGACATGATCACGTCAATTACTTTTGCTTTCTGGGCTTGTTGAACAACTTGCCGACAATATGCAGTATTACCTGTGTATCTTGGTCAAAATACATTTCATCAGGGCACCTTGGTTGTGTGAGGGAGGTGTTTTGCACGCACTGTCTGTTCTGATGCCATTTCTTCTTCTGGTAGTATCCAAAAGGACAGGGCCTGAGGGGTTCACAAACATGTTAATTCTGAAATTATATCTTACAAAATATTTTTGTTTCTAAATAATGTGCCTGTAACTATAGCCAAAAATTAAGCCAGGTACTGTATCAGAATTGGTGTTCTAGACAGGTAACCATTGAAGAGTATTGCTGAGCAGTGCTGATATCCCTCGCTCAATAAAACACAGACTGCACTGTGGCTTACATCGTCGGCTCTCTTGCTGTTGGAACCTCATTAACTCGAATTTTAAAATTTTGCAGGCGAGACAAAAAAACTGTCTAACATTGTTAATATTAAAAATTAGGCAATCAAGTTTTGTCAATGTATTGTGATGGGCCTTAGACTAAATTTTTTTTTAAAGTACATGTATGAGCTTTACCTAAGTGTATTGTTACGCAATCTGAGTTGGCGGCAAAACATCCTTTGTTTAGCGAGGATCTCAGGTTCAAGGGCTGCTCCGTTAAGTTGAACCTCGCCAAGCTGTTAGTGAGGTTAAAACAGCTTAAAAAGTGGCTTTCAGTTTCCCAAATCTAACCTTGATATCTTTGGGTTGTCTTTAATTGCACATGTTTAATATGCTGTGGGTTGTTTTATAATGTTCCTTGTTTTGTTTTCGTAAGTGTTTTACGGAGCTTGCAACTGCATACGGTATTGGTATTAATATGAGTGTGCGGGACACATTCAACATTTTCAACTTGGTAGGAATTAATTTTGAATTTTGCCCTGGTGGCAGCCGAAGCATACTCTTTTCGACTTTGGACCGCCTAGGGATATTTAACGTGCTCAATTTGCACACTGGACCTCCGAGATTTTCCGATATCTGAGAAGGCTAGGTGTAAGATCTTACCTACCACAAGATCCGGGATTTGCCGGAAAGAGCAGAACGGAGGAGCCACGGAGTAGCAGTAGAAAGACTGCGGAAAGTTAGGAGCCCAGAGGAGAGGGCAAAGGAGGGGGAGGGGCAGAAAGTGGAGACAAAAACAGATGACAGAACATGGTAAGAGAGCAGGAAAGGAGGGGAAAGGAGAACATTTTCGAGAAGAAAAATTTCCGTCTCTGTCAGGTTTCGAACCCAAGACCTATCGAATGAGAAAGAGATGAACACCATAACCTCTAGACCATGAGAGCCCCCCCCCCCCTTCCCATAATGTTCCTATGGCCGGCAAGAGAGCTGTTAAGGTGGAAAATGCAGCTGGGAGCAAAATGGCACTTTCTGTATTTTGGAGAGTTTTTCTTAGAAATGGGATTGCTGTGCGCGTGTGTACCGGTATCGTTGTTTGCTCAACCTTATAAAACATTGTTATATCACATTAACGAGGTTCGATGGATCACTTTATGCACTGTATTGGATAGCGGGTTTGCACAGAATCTAAAGTGCGGTTTTGAGTGTTTGTAGTTTGAATCTGGATGTTTTTGTAATAAATTTTTTTTATTGTGTAGCTAAGTATCAAGAATTTAGAGTATAAAACACGATATGCACAAAAATTCAAGTTAGCGAGTTTGCATTAGAGCACTGGCCGCCCCAATGACATCATGTATGATACATACGAGGGGTGTACAAAAAGTCTTTGGTCTAAATATAAAAGAATAAAGATACAGCTTTGTAACTTGGCACACATAATTTTATTTCTCTACACCAAGCAGACTAACGCATTTCTGTCACCTCTCTTTGACCTTCAACAGTCCTTGAGAGAAATATGACCCAGAATGGGCCCGTAACCTGTATTCAACAGCTTCAATGGCGCCCTTGATGTCATGGAAACAATGTCCTTTGGGTGATTTTTTAAGATAAGGAAATAGGAGAAAGTCTGACGAGGGGGCTCGGTCTGGTGAACAAGCTGGGTGTGGCAGGATTTCAAAGCTGAACTGTTTTGCTGTCTGGGCTGCTTGTTGTGCTCTGTGTGCAAGAGCGTTGTCATGCAGTGGGAGGACCCCATTAGTTTTCCACGACTTTTTCTCACCAATTCGGACCGCAATTTTATCAGAAAACCCGAGTAGTATAAATTCATGAAAAAAAAGGGAACTCATTACTTTTAAAATGTTCAGATATGTGTATCTTGAATGAAATAGGCCTACTTACTTTGAAGTCTCTATGAGACTCATCGACGGCTTCCTTCCTTTCCCCTCCATTACCAGTTTCTCTTCCCGTGCTGGACTCGCTGTCAAGAGCTCTCTCTACAGTATATAGAAGCATCACCTATTTTGTTTAGCAAAGTTCAAAGCGGGAGCTCCCGTGGTCTTAGAGGTTATGGTGTTCGCCTCTCATTCAATAGGTCCAAGGTTCAAAACCTGACTGTGATGGAATATTTTCTGCTCTAAAATTGTCTTCTTTCCTGCTCTCTAACCATTATTTGCTGTCTGCTTTCGTCTCCACCTTCTGCCCCCTCCCCCCCTTTTTTTTTGCCCCCTCCTCTGGGTTTCTGACTTTTTCTGCAGCCTTCATTCTGCTACTCCTCGGCTCTTTCTTACTGTTGTCTTTAGCCACACCCCTGATGTTATAGTAGGTAAGGTCTAACAAATAGCCTTCTCGGATAAGGGCAAAAATCTCAGAGGTCCCATGTACAAATTGTGCATCAAGTTAAAGATCCCTTGGTGGTCCTAAAATGGATAAGAGCAGGCTTTGGCCACCACCCAGGCAAAATTTAAAATTCCTAACAAACTGAAAATGTCCAATGTGTGCAGCGCGCTCATATGACCTTCTGCAGTTCCGAATGCCATAAAACACTTACAAAATCAAAAAAAGTTCAAAGCTTAAACTATACAGAGGAGGGTAACTTACAGGCAGTATGAACTTTCTTCCTGTTCACTGGTACACATGTGCACCAGGTACACATTGCCTTGACACATGAGACAGCTGATCTTCAAGTCTTTTCTGTTCAAAAGAAAATTTAAAAAGGTATTAGGGTAAATTTTTACTTTCATGCCCACACACAGATGAACCTAAGCTTTTGAGAGTTAAACTTTTGTATTTTTGGCTAAATACGAAAATAATTTTATCAAATGACTAGAGACAGATTTGACAATGCTTATAATAGTTCCAATGAAAGTTCCTGTTGCATAACTACAAATTGTTGTTATCGATCCAGCAATAGCTGAGCTCTCGCCCATTCAGACCAATGCCATGCAGTGATGAAGAATTAGGCTTCTGAGTCATTTGCTCTTTCAGCTAGCCTATGGACCCACCGACTCAGTGACTCATGAGTGACGAGGCTAATAATACTAATATTAATTTAATAAATGTCATTAACAGGATTTGTGCCAGTGCCATGCTTCAAATTACAGCGCGGCCTAGAGGAGTCGCGTCAAGCAAAACCATAGACTTGTAATAATCAAGATCAATTAGGGTAAAACTATTTTTTGTTAAGTTTTATATAGCAAAAGTTTTACGACACTTGCAACACATGTCATAAAAGAGTTCCCCCGTTAGATCTGATGTGCTTTTAGAGAGTAACAATATAAAATTTCCATACAAATATATGACGGGGGCTCTCGTGGCCTAGAGCTCTCATTCAATAAGTTCCGGGCTCCAATCCTGATAGCGACGGAAAACATTAGTCTCTAAAATGTTCACCTTTCACATCCTTTCCTGCTCTCTAAGAACATTCTGTCATCTGCTTTCGTCTCCACTTTCTGCCCCCACCCCTTCACCTCCTTTGCCCCCTTCTCTGGGCTCCTGACTCTTTCTGCAGCCTTTCTACTGCTTCTTCTTGGCTCCTTCTTACTGCTGTCTTTCAGTTTTCAGCCACATCCCTGATCTTACGGTAGGTAAGATGTACACCAAGCCTTCTCGGACAAGGGTGAAAAATCTCGGAGGTCCCGTGTGCAAGTTGTGCACGTTAAAGATCCCTTGGTAGTCTAAAATGGATAAGAGTAGGCTTCGGCTGCCACCCAGGCAAAATTCAAAATGTCCTACCAAGTACTACCAACTGAAAATGTTTGGCGTGTCCCGCGCGTTCATAGATCTCTATGACCGTATGCAGTTGCGAGCGCCGTAAAACACTTACCCCAAAAAGTGTTTTATTTAAGATATGACAATCCGGTTTGTTTTGACCCTAATGATTACTATACCACCATACTACCCTATAATCCTGAAATCCGCTACCCCTACCCCTAACCCATACAAAGTTACTATTGATATTCATTACTCTTGGGGCTAAAACCAGAGATAGCCAAGAATCAAATGATAATGATCCGCGGAGATAATAAAGGCCTACAATAGTTTGACAGGAAAGAAGGTGAGCAAATCACACTAGTAGTACTAGAGAGCACTCACTAACCACCCATAATTAGGTTGCACTGAGACCAAAACAATCGGTTTAATGGAACTGATGGGACTGATAATATGTTACGTTATTTCCCAAATCAATCAAAATCTGAATTAAATGTGGTCATCTGGCAGCAGGCTACTGACATCTGTGCCGTATTGTAGCGGTTTTGGCTCTTCACCATGGGTACTAGTCATTTTGTCACACTGACTCACACGGTCATTTCGTCACACCAGAGCAGTCAAGACGTCACAGTCATCTTGTCACACTCCAAATCAACAAGCACACTTGCCAACCCCCTAAATTCATTTTGCTAACTTTTCAGGCTGAGGAATCACGATTTTGCTAATATTTAGAAAATGAATTTTTAAAAAATTGAAATGCTCATTTTGTGACATCGCCTGAACAAAGGCCTGAGAGCTGACAAAATTATATCATCGAATGCTAATTAATTTTGGCAATTGCTCGCGTATTCTTATCTCACGGTGAGTACTTGAATTAAGTGGGATCGGGCAACACCGACATATTTCAGGCACTTCCACAAAGAGAAGAAGAGACCTGGGACAATTTTTTTGATCATAATCAGGCCTACTGGAAGATCAAAAGATGCATATATATTTGATCGTTTTGACACATATTTGCGTAATGCTGACAGTTTTACGTACTAGAATACGCAATTGCCTACAGGTTGGCAAGTCTGCACAAGGTTGAAGGGAGACAGTCATTTCGTCACACACGTGCAAACATCAAACGCGCATTGTGGCAAATCACAATTTTTGCGGGATGGTTGAGTGGTATATATGTGGAAAGCCGGGGGGGGGGGGGGGGGGGGAGCGGTTGCGAGTCGCATGCCTACCTGATTGATCAACTGCACCGTTCTAAACTGGGTGAGTTTTGTAGATTTGCTTTTATTGGTGTGATGGGGTGGGGGGGGGGGGGTGCATCCAAGTTAGAGAGAGAAGTCATTTCGTCATACATAATTGAAATTGGGGTGTGACAAGATGATTGTGTGACGAATTCCTGTGCGGGGAGGGTTTTTTAAATAATTATTATTCTTTTACAATTTATCTCCATGTGTTTAGAATCTGTATTGAATAGATTCTAGCTGGGGCATTGTATCTCTTTCGGCCTGGGTTGGCCTTATTATAAGACCTTATAGAGAGCAGTTGCCTCCACAATGATACAGATAGATCTATTGTGTAATTGGAAGCGTACATTTCAAAACATCTACAATATAAAAATAACTGGAACTGGAAGTTGGAGGATGCGTTGCCATGATAATAGGTTGCTTAGACATTTACCTGTAGTACCAGTGTTTTCCATTCTCGTAAATCTGCTCGTCGCTCGCGTCGTGACTATTTTTTTCAGCATCATCATCATCAGGAAGTGAATGTACCCTCAGTGTAAAAGCCAGCAGTAGGATGCCAATGGGTAGGGTCGTTTTCAGAAGCACTCCCATCTTAATTCTTATCATTATTATCACTCTGTTAATCCTGAAATTGAAAATGAAAAGAAACAATTGCATTTTGAATTCCAACGCCCGCGTTCTCAATAATATAGTATAATAGGAGGCCCCACTCAACTGTCGCACGCACGATTTAATTGATCAACCGACCGGGTGACGACACAGGACACCGGACCACCTTGCGGCTTAGATCTAGATCTACATGTAGTAGATTCTAGAATCTAGGTGTGAGTAGAGCTGGTCTCAGTAGATTTTTAGATCTGGATTCTAGTTGGGTTGTTTATGGGTTTTTTTTTGGGGGGGGGGGGGGTTGTTGGAAGTGGCTACTCTGTCCATGCCAAAAGCGGCCATAGACAAGTGCGCTGGAGCGGGTGATGGAGCATTCTCGCTCTGTACTCACTAGACTGGATGACACCGAACCTTGCTTAAATTCATTCCATTTTTTGTTGCTGCAGCACTTTTGTTAGAGTTTATAAGCTCTTTTTACAAAGGAAAATCACACCAGTTACAGAGTGTTTAATTTGTCAACATAAAAATGAATTACATTCGCAATTTACCACTAAATACAGACCGTGGTAGGCTACACTAGTGAGTTAACTTTTTTTTTCTTCACTTGCACCATAAACAAGAGACATCGTTCTTATTCTACATGTTTTAACAAAAATGAAAGAAAATTAATTTGACACACAGCATGTTGTAACTGAACCCAGTCAGCCGTCCCTTATCTCTGAAAAAGTTAGATTTCTACTGTTTTCATGATCGGGAGGACAGCTTTGCATTGTTTTCGTCGCCTGTCCTTCATTCCGCGAAGCACTTTGCTCAGCAAATCTTTTCATGAATATATATTTACCAACCGCATCAGCGCACTCTTTGCGATAACAACATTGATATATATGGAATGTCTCTGGAAAGTCCCACAAAATCGCCACTAATCTATTTCTGCAGTTTTTCAGTGGTTTAAAAAAAAACCCAGCAACATAATATAGGCCAAGAATGTAAAATCATAAAAGGTCAGAGACGGAAAATGTAGCCCACCACGATTCATGCTATCAAGTAGCTGTCTAGCATCGTCAGTAGCTTCACAACTATCACCACGAAGCTCCATACATTTTGAAGCAACATAGCTACGTAAAAAAGGGCACAATTTCTCATCATGACTTACATGGTTAACACCCTCTGTCAGATCATCAATAACAAGTAATTCAGCTTCTGTCAGAGGTTTGTTGCACAGTTCACATGCATGACGCGATTCGATTAGCTTCAAATGAAGCCCCTTCACGTGGTCATGGGTATGGCGAACAACCGTAAAATACAATCATGGAAAATGCAAAAACAGGACCATCTCGAGTTCTGCTGAGCAAGACAATAAATATATTATAATCTTTACTCTTTGCAGCATTGCCAATGGCTGTCAGCTTCATTTCCATTGTTTGATCAAATGAATCGAACTTGAGGGCATCTCTTTCTTTAAATACATTCATTTCATCAATATCAACAGCTCTAGAAGAAGCTGAACTTTTTGTGACTGCTCTCTGTTCTGGAGATGGTGTGCCCCAACATGATGGTGGTGCTTCTGGAAATATTGATGGAGGCTTTGTGGGCACCATAAATCTTCCAGCCCGGCCAAACGTAGCCTACATCAGGTGGGAAGTGAAGAGAGCTAACTCCCATATAATCAGTGACATTTTCTACGATTAATTTACTTGGGACACTTTTGACCTACTGTGCTTTTTTCTGAATCTCTTGGACATCTATATCTAGCATTTGCGTTTGTTGCCATTTTTTTGGGGTCCAAAAGTTCCCGCAAAACGTGGGAAAAGTTGCCCAAAAAGTTGCCATTAATATTCAAGCTTTCAACTTTCTGTAACGACGTACATGACATAGCAATATCTTGATAGAGATAACTTCATCTAAAGCTCAAGAATTTCTTGTGCTTTGTTTCAAGCATCCAGAATATCATTTGTAGTCACCCAGAGTATAAAATCGTGAAAAATTAATATTTCACAACAGAATGAAATCAAAATTAGAACAGCACGGATAAATAACCACAAAAATTAGGGCGCGTGTCCACCTATCCGAAGATTGGCTGTTTTAACCCTAAAAGTGTGTAATTCAAGAAAAAGCAGGCCTACGGGATATTAGATGTAAATTATGATCCGAAATCACAAACAATTTGGGCGTGCCAGTGTCAGTATTCCGTTTTGGTGGAGACACGCTCTAACACAACATATTTATATTTTAGAAGGGTAGGTACAGCATCAAATTGAATGAAAGTACGCTGTATAAACGCAAAAAAAAAAAGAAAAACAAATCATCAGAACAATGTTTTGAAAAATTAACACACCAACAAATTAAAACACAACAAAGAGGGAAAAATAAAAGACAAACAGTAATATAATTTATAGTATATAACGTAATGTACTTATATTCTCTGCATGAAAATAGAAACACATGGGCATCTTCACACTCATCAAAGCACAAGTCTATTATGTTATGAAGTAGCTTTGTTCTTTTGTCTTTATTGAAAAATGCAAAAATCACGGCCGCGATTCACGGACCAAAAAATGCCAAAAATCGCGGCCGCGACAAACGCAGATGCTAATATATTGTTATTTTGCCATCTCCCTTTTGACTGGCATAAACCACTTCTACAGCCCCATACGCGACATTTTCCTCTCATGTTCAAATGTTGCTCTCGCGGTTCATTGCGCAGAAACTGAGACGTATACAATTCAGCTGAAAACTTTTTCACAGTTTCAATAACAAGTTTCTATTTCGTCGTTGTAAACTTAGAGGGATCAATGATGGAAAAAAAGGAATAGAAAAAAAAAGAACCAGCTGAGGACTTAAATCATCAACCTTCCCTAAGCCTGAGAGACAACAGGGTCGACATTGATGAACAACCGAATTTGAATGCTGAGAGTGAGACACCAGCGTGGATGGAAAGTAAGTGGAAGGATAATATCACATCGAATTCTCCCCCCCCCCCCCTTCCTCTCTCTCTCTCTCTGCTATCTCTCTCTCTTTCTTTCTCTCTCTCTCTTTCTCTCTCTCACTCTTTCTCTCTCTCTCTCTCTCTCTCTCTGTACAGACACACACACACACACTCTCTCTCTCTTTCTCTCTCTCTGCTCTCTCTCTCTCTCCCTCTGTCTCTTCCTCTCTTCCTTCTCTCTCTCTCTCTCTCTCTCTCTCTCTCTCTCTCTCTCTCTCTCTCTCTCTCTCTCTCTCATTCTTACTCTCTCTCTCTCTCTCTCTCTCTCTCTCTCTCTCTCTCTCTATGTATGTGTGTGTGTGTGTGTGTGTGTGTGTGTGTGTGTGTGTGTGTGTGTGTGTGTGTGTGTGTGTGTGTGTGTGTGTGTGCGTGCGTGTGTGTGTGTTGTGTCTTTGGCCCAGAACCAGATTTATTCTTTCATTCCTGCTATTTGCAAGTGTATTTTATATTATGTATACATGTTTATACAGATAAAAAGAAAAGGAAAGTTGATAGCACGGGTGTCTTTTTTTCTTGCAACTACGAAACAAAAACTGAAAACGAAAGCTCTCAATATTAACGCCAGGTCTCCTTATCTGAGAAACTCCTTATTATTAGTCAATTTTCCCTTTACTGTCTTATTTTGTTCTACACCAAAACTGTGCTTGTGTTTATATTTATAGGCAGACAGACAGACAGACAGACAGACAGATAGATAGAGGGTTTAGATCAATCCCTACAGTCAATTCATTCTTTTGTTTCAGCCTCGTAATCGCCTCCTTCAACTCCAATGACATTTGCTGATGCTGATGCTACCGTCTAATCAACGAGATGAAAGTGCTGTTTCGGCACTACCCCAGTTTCAACAGTTATGGAGCTCAGAAAATGCTTTTTCAACAACTTTCCAAAATACTTTGATGCCCTGGCCTGAATTTCTCAAGATTACCACAGCCTACTGCAATGGCATCGTCGACATTCTTGAGCACATCACACGATAGTTCGAACATTGATAGGCACTAGTGGTGTAGGTATAGTGAGGAACATATCGTGCGTGTGATAGTAGTGAAGAGGAAACTTTAGAATGAGGATGAACTTGCTCCTCACCCCATTGCCAAAAATAAAATTTCACCAATGAAAAAAGATACAGAAGTAGGTGACAATGATGGACATGCGCTTTTTTACTTTGCCTTTGAGAATCCACCATTAAATAAAGTGCCAGCAAAATCTTCAAAGAAGTGCAAAAACTATGGAGGCTGAAAGTGAAACAATATTCACAAAATCAACGCAACACTGACGTTTAGTATACAGCAGGGTGTTGTGTGACGGAGATGCCAAATCTCATCAGATGCTCATTTTTTTATGATATTTATGACTTTGAAATGGTAAAAGATGACTACATAAATCGCATTAGCAAAAGAATGTTCCACGCCCTTCAGAGCTTCCAAACATCAACAACTAAGACCTGAACAGAAAACTCACGAATATTGAAAAACAGAGCAGTTACAAATACCTCACAAAACCTGGACTTAACTGTTACTTGTGTTCATTAGTTAAAATTTTGTTTTTGTTCGGGAGCTGTTGGTTTCTTATCGAGCACGAAACCTCTTTTTCACAGGACCGTGTAAGATTTTGAACACAATTACATGTATCTGTCAGTGAGGAACAGAGGCCACGAAACTGTCATGGTTTTGGTTGGCCTGGGGTGTGATGAACACAGCCGCCCTCGTAAGAATCGCCGGATGCCTTGTTTAGTGAACTACATCGCACAAGTGCTGGAATTTAATGTCTTACCCTTATTTTCGTCAAGGTGTCATTCAAGTAGTCACCCCCATGCCAAACAAGGCTTTTTCTTATATATAGGGACAATGCCATTAGAGAATTCTTTAAAAACCAAATCAATTCAACGTCGGAGTGGTTACAAGTAAACAGCCCCGATAAATCCTTTAGAGGTATGTATTGTGAAGTCCCATAAAACAGCAGCAGGAGAAAAACGACTTTGCCCCCAATTGAGACCCTTAGTTTGCAACTCTCTGTGACACTTGAAATGAAATGGC